CGTATTGGTCGAATTCGCTGGTTGAACCATGTTCACTCGCGTGTTGGTTTAAAGGAATTGGGATGACGTAGATTGTCAGTCGTTCCCACAGACGGCGCCAAATGTTTATGCAAAGATGTGCACAACAGTGTTCCTGATTGTAGCTCGAACTCGGCCTCCGTACCGACCTGAACCTTTGGGCAGACCTGCACAAAAAGGTGAGCACTCCGACGATCAAGTCAGTACAGGTCGGATTCCAAGTTTAGTTCGAAGCCAGAAATCATCGTACCTGATCGGGGAGTGAGGTCCTCTACTTATGGGTGGTAGTCCTGCTAATCTCGCGATGGTTACACCCGGTAATCTCGGGACCAACGGTTACACCCGGTAATCACGCCGTAGACAGTTGCTCACATCGGCCCCTACCGAGCTCCCTGGTAGGTCAGACCTGGGCCAGGTTCACCTCGGCCCTCATACTTGGCTTTCGCCGGCGTTGGTGGCAGCCATCTCGGCTAACCGAGCTGGGCATGACTCATGGGCCATCTTGGAGCACCAATAGGGGTCCTCCACGTGTCCAGGGTATTTTCATCCCCAAACATCATACACTTCATTTACATACCAACTGTATTATCCTATCTAAAATCATTCTCTTTGAACTATTATGAAAAAAAAAAATTGACACGATTATAATATGAAAAAAGAATATGCCACCCCAGCAGCACAGAATTTTTCACAATCGCAAATTGCCCCAATCAAGAGATTTCGAGCTCTCTTTTTTACTTCTGGCTCATCAAGAATCCTTCACTAGTGGGCCCCACAAACCTTTTGACAAGGCCCATTAGTAAGTCCAGCCCACAATCCCAACTCCTTTGTCAGGTGATTCCTCTTTTTGCCATGGGCATCACTGCGATGATTTCACCAAATTGATCCGGCCCATGACCTCAAGTCTTTGTTGGCCCATCCTCGTTTTAGCGAACTTCTTAATGTACAAAATTTGAGTGCTTAAATTCCAAATTTTTATAGTGCATAAATATGATCTATAAATATATATTTTAAAGTTAAACACTCATTTTTAGAATAAGAGCTGACATAAGTTTAGCTCATACGGTACGGTAATTGACACATTTCTCAACTAAAAAGTCGTGAATTCGAATACCCCAAATCTCACTTGTTGTACTAAAAAAGAAAGGTATTTTTAGAATAAAATATTTTAATATTTTACAAGTACTTTACCATTTTCAAAGTTACGTTTATTTTATCAAAATCCTCCATTTTATCCAAAGGCTTCGGAATTGGATCAATGTTTGAGCAATTAGGCTATAAGCTAAGCATTCGAGATATTCAAGCAGCCAAAATATCATCTTGTCACTTTCTTATGGCATTCAAAGTTAGAATTAAAATTTGAAAACTACCTCTATTTTATCTTCTCATTCATTTATCTCTCGCTTCTGTGTTGCGTGTGAAAATTGAAAACACACATGGTTAGATAGTAGTAAGTATTTATTTTGTCTACCTCCAAAAGTTTTAAACTTCAAATTGTATAATTGAGTTTGGTTATAAATTGTCAATGTAAATTAAGAGATCTGTTTAAATAATAGAAAAATGAATGTTTTCAAAAAAATAATACAAAAATGGAAATGAAGTGGGTAAAACAAAGGTAAAATTAAGGAATATTAGAATAAAGGATATATTGTTTAATTGAAATGGTTTAGGTAATTCAACTAAAACACATTAGGGAAAAAAAGACGTGTATAAAAAACTCCATCACATCCACTTCATTTACATCCTAACTATATATAAATATACCCCACTCTCGGATCATTTTCCTTTAACTCCCCAAATTAATGGCCAATCCAACCAAGTTTCCACTCTCTCTTCTTCATTCTCATCTATCTTCTGCTGACTCATCTAGAATCCTTCTCCACATGGCCCCATAACTTTTTGACCTGGTCAAATCCACCTGCTGCTATAGGCCCATTACTAAGTCCCAGCCCAGAACCTGCTCTTGTCATGGGCCTCACTGCGACTTCAATGATATCACCGAATGGACCCGGCCCACAACTCGGGTCTTTGTTGGCCCATCATCGAATCCTACATTGTCATTCTTCATGCATGATGTTTTGGGAGGGTCCCACCCATCTACCAGAGTGGTCACCGAAATCACAGCCCAATCGGACACCGCCGCCGCCGGCCTTCCGTTCTCCAAACCCAACAAAAACATCTTCCCTCTCCCCGGCGGAGTCCCACTGATCAACTATAACAAAAATTACAACAGTGGAAAAGTTTTGAGCGCTGGTCAACTCACGGCCATGGACGACGAGTTAACGGAAGGTGAAGAGTTGGGATCCGCCATTATGGGCAGAGGACAGGGATTCTACTTTGTTAGCTCTTTGGACGGCTCCAGCCATACCATAGCATTCACCGTCGTATTGCACCAACATAATCAAGACGACAACAAGGATGAGGATACGATAATCTTCTTCAGGGTCCATCGTAGAGTGTCGCTGGAATCGCCAATTGCGGTGGTTGGTGGTATCGGAAAGTATGAGAAGGCCGAAGGGTTTGCGATGATTGAGAATCTCCGCCGTCGGGAGAACCAACATTAGACGGAGAGGATACGATTGTCCATTTCACTGTTTATCTCTCCTAGTATTTCTTTTTCTTTTTTTTTTCTTTGGTGTTAAATAAATGAAGTTATTTCACCTAGGGTAATTTATTTTAATAGTATTTTTTGAACAATGATCAAACTTACCACCTCTAAGTGAGAAATATACGTCAATTATGCTCTTTTGAAGAGCATAGAACATCCACAACTGTTAGATAAAAATTAGAGAGCATAATTTATTGTCTCTCAGTTCTGGTAAAGGAGATTTTTGAAAAACTGAAGGTATTTTCAAAATAAATTGAAAAAAACGGGTGGGTTTTGAAGTATTTGGGTTTTCAGGGTGTTGCGTCTTTTTGAAAAACGCATTTGAGACTTTTTAAGTTAACTGACAGGATTCCATCAGTTGAGTCCTGACGGAGTTACTATGGATGCGTCTCTTAAAGAGACGTCTCTTAAAGAGACGCATCCGTATTGGAAATACAATCCACTTTTGGCAGTTCGGGGTGAAGAGGTTCCTCAAGGAACCTCTTGTGCACCACGATTCCAGTATTCCTTCTTTTATTTTTTTTATTTTTTTTATTTCCCTTAAAATTTCATTTTATTTCCCTTCAAAACTCCGTCAAGTTTTCATTCTTCCTCTCACTCTCCCATTTTTCCTCTCACTTTCACTTTCTCATTATTCACCCTCATTTTATCTTCACCATCACTCTCATTTTAATCCTATTTTTGTTTCTTTCCCTTCTTCCCTTCCATTTTTTGTTTCCTTCCTTTCTTCCCTTCCATTTTATCTTCACCATCATTCTTCTAAGGTAATTGTTAATTATTTTATTGTTAATTTTTTTAATTCTTAGTTTTATTATTAATTTTCTTTTGTTGTAGGAACCGTTCAAATTTAATAGAAATAGCAAACTTGGAGCGAGATTTTGTCTACAACATAGATCGTAGGAGAAGACGACAACGAACAGGAGCTAATATCCTTGATGATAATCCGAATGACCAAGAATAGGAATTAAGTTAAGTCTTAATTTTTTTCTAAGAATTTTGAAGTTTGTTTTATATATGATGGTTAAAAATGATAAATTCTAGCCTAATTAAGTTACGATCAAAGTTTTATTTATTAATTCAAACAGTTTCTATCAATTTTTATAATTTTCGTGAATTTTTTTGAAATATCCATTGACATCAATATTTTAAACCTTGCTTAGTTATGACAAAGATGTAAACATGATTATATTACACATAATTATAGAGAATTTGAAAAAAAATATATACCTTACAGGAAAAAATAGGGTTTTGTGGGTTTTATTCAATAGTCCGGAAAAAAGAAAAGAAGTAACAATATTAAACAAAAATTTACTTGAATAATTATGATCAATCAATATCGTAAATGTCAGAATTTAATTATATATTCATATTAAGATAAATTGAATATCTATATATACTCAATAGTAGGTAAGTATTAAATTGATAAAATTTAGCATAGAAATCTATTAGATACAAAATATTGAAATTTCACGAATCAAATAAACACCTCTAAAAAATTTAAATGTGGAACTTGTAATTTATTTATTTATTATCATTATTTTTTTCTTTTGGAATGGGTGACGGGTGTTTTTAGCAATGTTGTGTGTATAAATATATATATATATATGTATGGTATTTGTATAGCTGTGGATCGTCTCTAACCTTTCTTCCTGTAGAATGTGGTCGAAACACGTAAAACTTCTGAGCTTGGAACAACCATCCTTCGAAGAGTTGATTCCGTCGAACATCGATAATTCGACCTACAGCTTCAACAATGCACCAAATTCGACTGATTTGTATTTGACATATTGCAATCCAGAGGCCTCCACCTCTCACTCACCAAACCGATCAAATCGTTTATTTGTGGTTTAGTTCGGCTTGGTATGCCTACCATTTGTGGTTTATGTTTTTCTTTTTTAAAACTTAACTTTGCCCCCAAAATCGAGTCAAATCAAAATGTGAACATCCCAACTAGTGGATCGTCATCCTTCCATTAGGCTAAATGTTAAAAACGTGTGATTTGAAAACCTAAAGATCAAATAGAAATGAAACTCATAATCGAGGGAGTAAGATTATTTTAATAATAATAAAGTACAAAAGTGGTTGGCTTCACAAAGAGGAGGAGCGTTAGTATTTATTTCAGGTGTTGGTTTTTTTAGTAGACGATAAGAAACTTTTATTGTAGTCTATTATTTTGCGACTCAGCTTAATGGCTAGAGGGTAAGTGCAAGTGCACACTGTCACAAGTAATAATTTGGAAATATTCCAAGTTCGTTTTTACAGGGACTAGTTTTCTTTTAAAATTGATTTTGTAAATTGCTTGAATGAGCAATCGGGTGTGGGATAAAAATTGGTGAAATTGTTGGGAATATGAATTAAAAACACGAAGATTAAAAAGCCAATCCCTACTAAGATTTAGTTCGAAAATAATGAATTACACTTACCAAATGTGCTTGTAATTACGCTCAATTTATGCAAACTGGTTCAACTCCTATTCCATATCACTTTTGGTTTGTTTAAAAGTTTAGGCTAGTGTTTACAAATGTCTATACAACTCTAGAATCTTAAATGAATTAAATGACTGATAGAGAAAATACATACATGCGCAGCGGAAGTGAGCAAGAATCGAAATAACAATCTAGATGCATAATACAACCTAGGATTAAACATGCATGAT